GCCATTCTCCTGCTTCAGCCTCCCAAGCAGCTGGGACCACAGGTGCCCGCCACCACACCTGGCTAATTTTTTGCATTTTTAGTAAAAACGGGGTTTCATCGTATTAGCTAGGATGGTCTCGATCTCCTGACCTCATGATCTGCCCGCCTTGGCCTCCCAAAGTGCTGGGATTACAGGCGTGAGCCACGGTGCCCGCCAACAATGACTTTTTAGGGACGTGATTCAGCTTATAACATTCTGTACTCTGGACTCCCAAAATTCATGTCCTTCTCACATGCAAGATCCCTTCACCCCCATCCTAACATCTCAAAAGTCTTATTATTATTATTTTTTGAGACAAAGTCTCACTCTGTTGCCCAGGTGCAGTGACAACTCATTGCAGCCTTGACCCCTTGGGCTCAAGAGATCCTCCCACCTCAGCCTCCCAAGTAGCTGTGACTATAGGCATGAGCCACCATGCCTGGCTGATTTTTCTATTTTTTGTAGAGACAAGGGTCTATGTTGCCCCAGGTTGGTCTTGAACTCTTGAGTTCAAGCAATCCTTCCACCTTGGCCTCCCAAAGAGCTGGGATTACAGGCCAGAGCCACTGCTCCCGGCCCATTTCAAAAGTCTTAATCCATTTCAGTATCAAACTCTAAGGCCCAAATATCACCCAAATATTATCGGAATCACATATGGGTGAGACTCAAAGTGTGGTTCATCCTGAGGCAAAATTTCTGTCCAGCTGTGTAACTGTGAAGCCAAAGAAGTTATTTTGCTTCCAAAATACAACGGTGGGACAGGCATAGGATAGACGGTCAGCCCTGGAAACCACCCTTCTACTCTGTGACTGTGATTTTGATGTTTGTAGATTGCACATGTAAGTAAACGCATGCAGGATTTGTCTGTGTCTAGCACAATTCGCTTGGCATAATGTCTTCCAGGTTCCTGGATCCAGCCATAGCTGCACATCAGATCTTCACGGATAGCCTAGTTCCCTGACTACTGAGTAACTTCAGCCTTACTGGCTTCAGCCTCACTGGCAAGACCCGATGGAGTCCACCAGACTCGCAAAAATCGATTTTGACCTAAGTCAGTTCAACTTGACAAGAAGAAAACATCTTAGTTTCCAACAGAAGTGGACCACAACTTTAAACCTTTGACCTTAAAGTCTAAAACATTAACTTAAAATAGGCAAGAAGCAACACTGCTTCACAGGACAAGAAACAGTCACCAATACTCCCAAATCAGGAGAACAAAGACTCGGTGGGCTGAAGGCAGAGGGAATAACAGACCCCGCCCACCAAACAGGTCCCGCCCACACCGCCGGTCCCGCCTGGCCCGCCTGGCCCCGCCCACTACCGCATGAGCCTGCCCCACCCTTTCAGGGTTCCCAAATCAGGTCCGTCTTTCTGCCCCTTCCCTAGCGGGTCGCACCCCACCCAGGACCCTCCCCCGCCCCAGGCTTCTTAGTCTTTTTTTCTCCTCTCGTGAAGCTTCCTGCACACCCGGAAGCAGATCGCGCGGGGAAACCCTCACAGCGCTGCGCGTCAGTTTCCGTCTACCTGGACTAAACATTTGCTTCGCCGGGTCTACGTGAATCCAACGTGCACTTGGCGGTCTTCCCTTGTCTATACCCGTTTCCTGGGGATCACTACGGACCTTAAAATACCAGCAACAGCCCCTTCGCCCCAAGTAAGTCTGATAATTGCTTTCCTTTCGGTTTAAAAATCTCTCTGCGGCTGTTCCTTGCTCCCTGCCTTTCTGCCTTAGGACCACGTAGACAACCCCACTCAGGTCGTGTTCCTGCTTAAAACCCTTACTGACCTCTGCTTCGGCCCTGCACCAAGTCGAGCCCTCACTCGGGAGGTGGATTCCCACTCGTCGCGACCCCCGAGTTCCTCCCTCGTCAGCCCCTGGAGGGGAGCGCCTGCCGTCCGGCTCCTGAAGGAGCCTCTTCCCCTCCCAGGTCCTGGGATTCTGCAGAACCTCCCAGTCCTGAGACATCGTCCCCCGCGCCACCTAGTATCCTCCTCACGCCGGGTCCTTCCGCTCCCCAGGCTTCCCCTTCACAGCCACTGCTTTTCCTGATCCCCCCGTTGGGGCAGGTGACCAGAGTCTGTCTTGTGATACCCAGTGTTCTTCGTTCCCAAATTTTACTCCACTGGAAAATGTGCTCTTCCGGGAGGTGGGCATCTTATTCCTCCCCTGTCCTACTGAATGTGTGGGTGAGAGGGATCAGGAGAGGAAAAGACAGGGAACGACGAAGCAAAAGGAAAAACCGAAAAGAATGAGGGAGACCCATAAATACACGGCAAAATGGATGATAATTTAGGGATTTGCAGAGAGATAGCAAGAGTGAAAGAGAACGAATGGAGAAAGAAGCAGGGGGAGAAAAGCACATAGAGACATTTAGAAAAAAAAGGGGACCTTCAGAGAGATGAGGGCAGCAAAATAGAGTGGGGCGGCAAAGGAGGAGGCACTGCAGACAGACAGTGGGGAGAAGGTAAAAGAGTTGGAACCGCAGCCGACAGAACTACGTGGTGCTGGAACTGAAAGAGAGGGCAGTGGGTGACAAGCAGAGTAGAGAGAGAGCCGCAGCAGGGAGGAAGCCTAGGAAGTTGGGGGTGCTAGAGAGTGGGAACAAAGGAGCTGTAACAGGTAAGAGGGAGTTTTAACAAGGAGAGCAGAGAGGGAGCTTAGATGGGGAAAAAGAGGCAGAAATACGTGGAGATTGGGGACAATCAGAAAGATTGGGGAGGAAGAGTTCCAAGAGGTGAAGTAAGTTGCCGACTATTGGGCAGAACAGACATAAAAGAGGAGAAGAACAGAAAAGGGGAGGAAAGATGCAGCATGCGAGAGGGAAACACGTAGTAGTGAAGAAAGTGGGAGAGGAGCCTATCCAGATGAGTGATGAGTTGATTGGATATGGATGGTGGTTGTAATATTCTGATTTGTGACTTTACACTCTAAAATTTTTTTCTTTAAATTGTAATCATGAGGATGAAAATTACCACTCTTTTCTGTAAGGCTTGTGCATTTTGTATTTATTTGTATCAAAAGATATTTAGAATTTCTGTTTAGCCAGAGGGCATTTAAATTCAGTCATTTGTGGTAACTCTTTTCTTCCCTGGGATAGAGTAGAGGATAGAGTGAATGAGAAATGGGGCAATAAATGACTGTCACTCTCACTACAAGGTATGTCTTTGTTTTTTTTTCTTTTCTGAAACAGGGTCTTGCTCTGTCAGACTAGAGTACAGTGCCATGATCTCTGCTCACTGCAGCCTCAACCGCCCAGGCTCAAGCAGTCCTTCTGCCTCAGCCTTTCAGAGTGCTGTGATTACAGATGGGAAGCCACCACATCAGGCCTACAAGGTATGTCTTTGTAGGAGTATTGAGAGTCTTATTTTTTTGTAATGGATTTTCTTTTTTGTTTTTTCTTTTTTTGGTTTGAGACGGAGTTTCACTCTTGTTGCCCAGGCTGGAGTGCAATGGAGCCATCTCGGCTCACTGCAGTCTCTGCCTCCCAGGTTCAAGCAATTCTCCTACCTCAGCCTCCCAAGTACCTGGGATTACAGGTATGTGCCACTACGCCTGGCTAATTTTGTATTTTTAGTAGAGACGGAGTTTCTCCATATTGGTCAGGCTGGTCTCAAACTCCCAAACTCAGGTGATCCACTGGCCTTGGCCTCCTAAAGTGCTGGGATTACAGGCATGAGCCACTGCGCCCAGCCTACTTTTTTCTTTGTAGTTCCTTTATTTATTTATTTTTTGAGA